ACACACCCTATTCAGAGACCTTAAGGACCTTAATACCCTATAGAATCATTCTATAACCCCTTTAACACTCAGCTGAAGATGTCCTAACCCTGCAGGTAACATGAGGCAACTGAATTCACAAGGACAAAGTCCAGGATTTATGTGCAAACAACATCAAGCAGTTAACTGCTAAAGTAAGTTATTTAATATCAGCTCCCTTAGATAAAGCAACCACAAACTCTGTGATCTGATTCGACCGTTCCCGTTCTGGAAGCAGCGTGACCGACCGGTAATGCTGCACAGCAGCCGACTCATTGCTTTCCCACTTACAGCCACGGTGAAAAGAAAGCACACCCACTTTCATCTCTAGAGGAGATAATAACTATCATCTGGTTCTAAAATCATTTGAACCTAAAAAACAGGTTAGAGTTATAATGGAGGTACTGTGAGCTAATGGGTAGAGCTTCCTTTATCAGCAATAATGGAGGAGTTTATATTCGACTCAGATGCTCTATGAGGTGCTGATGTAGATGGTGCGTTTTCCTTTTATACATTTAATAAACTAACTAAGGCCTGGAGAGGCTGGCATGCAGCTCTCTGGTTTATTAAAATAACTTTAAAAAAAAGTAGTTTCCCAAAGCTGCATAAAGAGTGAGATAGTGCTTCTTTAGTGCAGATTTATAAAGTTAAAATGATCAGTTTTGCTACAGTGGTTTCAGATATTTTAAAGATTCGTTTTTAGGTCATCCAGATGTCACCATCAATACATTAAACGCCAAATTAAACCAAAGTGTTCTACGTCTTTAGTGTACAGATACCCAGAAAAACTCAAATAAATAAATAAACTCGTGGATTTGATTGATTGATTGACTTTATTGACCTCATAGTGGAGCAATTTACTCGTTACATCGACTCAATCGTCAAAAAGAAGAAGGTGCCAAAAGGAGGAGAAGGTGTATGGGGGTATATACAGTGCGTCCTCATACATACATATATGTATGCAGTCTCTTATTTAACATAATTATTATACAGCGTTATTGCAGAGGGTACTAAATAGGTATAAAACAAAAATGTTAAAAGTCTTCAGTATTTAATCAGGTTTTCTAAAAGGTAAAACAAGAAAAACAGGCTTATAATAATTCTATTTCCTTTATATACTTAAAATTTAAAGGATGAACCATAAACATTCCTACTAAAGG